GTTTGATTGAGTTATATTCATCTTTGTTCCTGCTCATATCAGTTCTTAARATTAGATATTTTTTAAGACAGACACATAAACACGTTATCTCCCACCTTTGAACAGCAGTGGAGATGAAGACTGGTGGCTTTGTTCATGTTTAATTTATTAATTTAGTTCCTGTTTAATTTTAAAATAACATGGCACATACATTTAAAACAAAATGACTCTGTAAAGTGCATTAATTACCAATGAGGCTAGTTTGGATTTCTAATCTTTTGCTTGTTTAATGTTGAACATGTTGGTTTGTCAAAGCTGGACAGAAACATCATAGAGCATCATGAATTTATATATTTAACACTCTCGTGTCCAAGATTGTACGAAGCGCAACACCTGTAATATTTCCTTATTATGTGGAAGCTTCTACTAGAAACTGTGTGTTCCTGTGTTCTGACCCTGCTGAACTCACCTGTGTGCTTCAGTACGTCGCTGTGATCGTCAGCTTCCAGCTGCTGAGGACTTCAGTGACCATCAAAGAGCAACACGACGTGCCGGAGATCCTGAACGTCCTGATGCTCAACCTCAGCACCAAAATCTCCCAAAGACCTGGAGCTCAAGCTGTCAGGTGGCCACACCCGTCCTAACCWAATAAACCAACCAGCTGAGAAAATAAACACGTCTAACAGCAGTGACAAACACACACAACTTATCRTGAAAGAGGATTTTTATTATTTGTATAATTGCTGAGTCAGCTTACGCTTTTATTAGGCATGATAAACTTGTTTTTTATGTTGGTAATTTTCAAAATATTTAACGATTTACCTGTAGAAATCTGTTTTAATCTTTAATTCCTCTAAAAACATTCTTTGAAATCTACATCAACAGACTTCCTCTTTTACTTTTATCTACTTTTAGCCTTTAGCTACATTTAGCCTTTTAGCTGCTGTTTTACTAAAACAGATTTTTGATCATTTTAACTTTTAGACAGTTTTGCTACATTTAGCTTATGATTATTATCATATATTATTTATATATATTATATACATATATATTGGGTACAGTTTTTAATTACAGCTCTTATTTATGAGTTTTTTTATTTGCTACTGTTTAGCTACTTTTAGCTTTTAGCAACAGTTTTGCTTGCTGTAGCTTCAAGTTATAGTTTTGCTGATTTAAACTTTTAGCTGTTATTTTCCCACTTCTGTTCTGCTTGTTTGAACTTTAACAACTTGGTTACTGTTTTATTCTTCATCAAATTTATGCATAGCCAGCATTCATGCTGCATTTCTGCAAGAAAAAAGAAAATTTTTCTTCTTAAATTTTTTGCAATCAAACTACTTCTACATATTTTGAGTTATCCTCAACTTGAAATAAGTTTTTATAGCTTTTATTCTTTTCAGAATATGCACCCTAATTTTAAATTTCCTGTTCTCTTTGTTCTGTGCTTCAACAAACTTCATCTGGACCTTCTTTGCTAATTTTAGCTACTGCTCAGCTAATTTTAGCTACTGCTCAGCTAATTTTAGCTACTGCTCAGCTAATTTTAGCATCTGTTGTGCTGATTTTATCCTCCATCCTGCTGTCTTACGG